TTTTTTTTTTTTTTTTTTTTTTTTTTTTTTTTTTTTTTTTTTTTTTTTTTTTTTTTCATACATAGTACCTACGAGCTTCCTGCCAATGTTGTTTCAGAGCACTGCAGGGAGCTTAGGTGTGCAATTACGCCCGGGATGTTTTGCATAAAGTGGGGAAACCCACAGGCAGGCACATAATATAATATATGCGTTTGATAGAGACGTAGTGTTTTTCATGCATCACCATTATGTCGCAAATTACTCTATTCGACTCTATAACATAATGTATACGAGCGTGTCGTAAATATATTTGAAAGCACGGGTCAGTGGGTATTCATTAAGACGCTGGGCTGACTTTTTTTTTTTTTTTTTTTTTTTATTAATTCCAACAAGTTTTCGTGACTCCTGCGTGATCGTGCTGCCGCTTTGGTTCACCCATTCAATAAAAATGATTGTAAGTATGATGCGTTTCCGAAAACACCAATGTATCACGTAAACGTAGAGACGTGTAATGATATATATATATATATATCTAATGATACAAAATTGAAGCAACGTTAGAACGGAATTACATATTTAATTGGAATACACAAATGATATCTATATCAGGAATTTACAAAGTCGATTGGTCAGGTGACATAAAATATACATGTCAACGTATAATTTCTCAACACGAAAATATGCAAGCTATACCATCAGATAATTTGAAAAAAAAAAAAAAAAAAAAAAAAAACATACGCGATCGTCTACAGGCACATTTTAACCGGTGATCGGTGTACCTATAATATTCTCGCCATCCGTGATTAATCATCATCTTTTTTTTCTTTCTTTTTTTTGCAGAACAAACTATATTTATCAAAACACACACGAAAATAAAGTATACCTTTGTTCCCATAGTCTCTAATCTCGCCGAGGGGTCATCAACACCTGTATACACTCGCTCTCTTGGTATACCATAACGCCTCGTCTAATTTACCATTATAGCCATTGGGACAAAAGGCGCAAAAAGAAGGAGAAGAAATTAGAGACGCGATAAATAAGTGGGGAGGAAAAGAAGAAAAAAAGCAGACACAAGAGGGCCGGGAGAGAACACCGGGGCTAATTGAAACGCGCGGCTTACATCCCGAGCCGACAGGCAGGCCGGAGAAGAGAGATCGGCCTCTCTCTCTCACCTCCTGTTTTCTGCTCGCTAACAGTTTAGGCGTACATTACACATCCTCCTCTTTTCGATTCTCCCCTTCGCATATTTGCATTCGATTATAACACGCTCGAGCTGGTCTCACTTGGAGCGGTGGTGCACGACTCGGTGAGTGTATATGTATAACGTTTAGGTACCCACCTATTACACCATTAACCTTTGAGAGATCAGATATGGGATTTTCTCGTGGATATCGCGCGCAAGTGATGATTTATGAATTGCTAATTCGAGACTCTGACCGTTGAATGCGAAAGGGTGTCCGTCTGAATGGGGGGTGCGAGCTGGGTTTCAGTCCATGGACTCTCCAATGCAAGCGTCCAATGTTATTTTTAATTTCTACAATTATACATCAGTTGGTTGACTTATTACCGTACAGTGGCGTTATCGTCAGTGCATTGAAATCATCTGCCGACACTCACTTTGCTTTCAAGTATGATTTACATACGTGCTAAATTATATAACGTTGATTAACGTATGGATTCTAAGAGAAGCACATTAATTTAACTGAATAAGTTTTTTAAAAAACTATTTTTTTTTAATTTTTAAATATTACGCAAGCTTTAAAATACAAAAATAA